GGTTCAGGGAGGTGTTGGTTTTTTCTTGTTCTGTCTGGGAGGCCTGTCTGTACCCACACCCTCCTCCAGCAGGGAGGGTACAGAAGTGCCAGGAGTGGTTCGTCCTATTTATGTACTTGTTTGACTTACTTCAAGAAATTCAAGTATCTGGAGACCTAGTGTTAGACCACAGCTCAGAGATGACTTACATCATGAGAAGTTCTTTTAAAAATCATCACTCAATGTACTTAAAATTTTGGCTTATCAAACTCAATTTTGCACACTTGTCCAGTGGCAAGCCTTGCATGTTGGGTCCAGCACATGCTCACTCAACATCCTCATCTCGCCCTGGATTGTGGGCTGGGCTCTCCTTTCACCTCATGGTGGCCTACATGGACTTACTAGGCCCTGCCTCCTCAGTGACTCTTTTTCCGAGGGTCTGGTGTGGTTTAGGATCCTTGGTGGTCCCCCTCCTGTTCCAGAATGAGAGTTCAGGACTCCATGAACATTGTCCTCCTCTGAGTGCTTGTGCCCAGGGCCTCTCTTGGCATGGCTTTCTGAACCTACCTGCTGCATCTGCCATGGGTTTGGGTAGAACCTCTAGCCTTGGTTTTGTTCTGTCTTCTCTGACTGCTCCCTTAGACCTAATGATTCCAAAGCTTCCTTGTTTACATGTGCTCTTTGTTCTTGTCACGTGCTGTGGTCTGAATGTTCCTGTCCGCCTTAAATTCATATATTGAGACTTAGTCCCCAATGGGATGGAATTTGGAGGTGGGGATTTTGGGGAGCTGAGTAGGTAATGAGGGTGAGCCCTCCCAAATGGGATCAGTGTCCAGAGAGGCCCCAGAGAGCTCTCTCACCTCTTCTGCATGTGAAGACACAGCAAGAACATGGCTGTCCATGATGATAACCATGCCAGACACCAAATTTGCCTTGATATTGGACTTCTCAACCTTCAGACCTGTGAGAAATAAATTTTTGTAGTTGATAACCCACTTAGTCTATGGTATTTTGTTTTAGCAGCCTGAATGGGCTAAGATAGCACAGTTTCTCATTTCCTTTTGCTTTACATCCCACCGTGTGGAGCCACCTTGCCTTTGTATGCACTCAGAATCCTCCTGCAACCAGCCTGGGTGGAGGCTCCACTCATTGGGAGGGAGCTTACGGACCCCAAGTGGCCCTCAAGATGCCTGTGGCTTCCAGTAATGTGGGGAAGGGCAAGGACCAGGCATGAGCATGCTGTTAAGGGGGGTGATGCAGGCCCTAGTTCTCTTTTCTTGGGAGCACTGACCGCCCCCTGGCAGCACACACTTCATTCTCATTTCCAAATGTGGACACTGCTGGGGATGTTAATGTGGAATTCTGTACTGGGAGTAATATCCATTCACATTTTTGATATCAGTTATAATTAAGGCCTGGTATGGAGTCAGCTTGTAAAATTTGGAAGAATAAGGGACTTATTACCTGTTACAGATAGAGGTGTGTGTATATGGATGTTTGTGTGTATTCCGGAGTTTTCTTTCCTATATCAGCAATTTCAGATCTGAAGAACATAATGGAATCTGATCTTTTTGGCTCTTAAGTGGGTTTAGCTGGCTCCTGAGAGCGGTGATTGGTGTTTAAGTTGTTTGCTAGTGGCCACAGAAGATCATTAATCAGGGATAGAATCAGCCTGCCATGCTCATTACCCTGTAGACTTCAATCCAAGTAAAGGCAAGGCCTGTTGTCCTCAGGCCAGTGGCCTTCCACTATTTTAAATTCAGCTATGTTTAGCTGCCAAAAATACTTTGTTTTCTTGTAAGATCAGTTGATAAAGGAACTAGAAAGGAACAAATCACTTCATTTGAAATCCAACATACTCCATCTCGTTGATGGAGACAGTCAATAAGCTGAATAAGTAAATCGTATGGTGAATTAGATGGTATCGAGCGCTATCAATAAAAAATAAAGCAAGGGTTGGGGAGCATTTGGGAAAGGTAGAATTTAAAATAGGATGGTCAGGGCAAGCTGCATTTAAGCTCTTGGAGAAAGGAAGTACTGACCTATGTGAATGTCTGGGGAAAGATGCTCCAGAGAGAGGGCCCTCAGATGGGGCCATGGCTAGTATATTTGGAGAAAAGCTGGGGCAGCAGCTGGGGCATAAGGAGTGAAGGAGGGAGGACATAAGGTCAGGGAGTGAATGGTGGGGGAAGCATCAAGTGAGATGGGAGCCATTGCAGGCTTTGAGCAGAAGACAATCTGAACGTGACATGTAGATTTGCTTCCAGGTTTTTGACTATTATAGACTGTGCATCTTGGGCATACCAGTGTAGGGATGAAACTAGCCCCATAGTAACAGTAATAACACTGTGTATTTTCTGGCACTGCCTTTATCTGCTTTCTTGGAATTCCAGTCTGTCCTAAAATGTATCGCAATGACTTCAGGAAGCCTCCACATGGCATCTTCAAGTGTTCATTAATCTAGCCCTCAAGCCGCCACGCTCATCTGCTGTTTTCCTTTCCTCCCGCTCTAGTTGCTGCCAGGAAGTTTCCTCTGGATCTTGATGTTCCAATATTTTCTGATGTTCTCTTGTTCTCTCATAAATCTCCATCCCAGGCTGTGCTAGTCTAGCTCCCTATGAGGTTGTTAGTTGCAAATAAAGAACTCTACCCTATTAATTTAAACAGAAGAGGAACTTAATAAAAGATAGCAGGTAGCTTACAAAATCATGAAAGAGGTTGGAAAATCAAGCTTTGAGCAACATGGCCACAAACAAAGCCCAGCAACGTGGGCTGACCAGTCACTTTCTCTAGTTTGTGTGGATAATGTGGCCTGTGCTGCTGATGCTGGGCCTACCATGATGACTGCTAAGACTTTTGCTGTTGCTGCCTTGGGGGACTGGCTGGCCCCAGCATGCCTTCTGCTAGAATATCTCCCAATGGCCTGCCTGCCTGCCTGCCTGCCTTTCTTTCTTCCTTCCTTCTTTCCCTCCTTCCCTCCTTCCTTCTTTCCCTCCTTCCTTCTTTCCCTCCTTCCCTCCTTCCTTCTTTCCCTCCTTCCCTCCTTTAACTCTGTGGCCCTGGGTAGAGTGCCATGCATCATCATAGCTCACAGCAAACTCAAACTTTTAGACTCAAGTGATCCTCTTGCCTTAGTTTTTCTAATTTTAGTAGAAATGGGGTCTTGCTTTTGCTCAGGCTGGGCTCAAACTCCTGAACTCAAGCAATTCACCTGCCTCAGCCTCCCAGAGTGCTGGGATTACAGGCCACCATGACTGGCCTGGAGCTTCCTTCTTCACATCACTTTTCTCCATTCTGGATCCTCAAGGCTGTACGGTGGCTGCAGCGAAGACTTGGGAAAGCAAGGTTCTGACCTAACAAGCCAGTCATCCTCTGGCGGAAATGTTTCTAAACTTGAAGGTTATTCAAAGAGTTCTGGATGTCAGAAATCAGGAAAAACATCTTTGGTGCTCATTGTTTAGGTTGTTGGGTCTGTTCTGTGCTTCAGTGATCACTTTGGAATGGAGATAATCTTTCATTCACCATAAATGCCTTAGTTTCCCATCATTGTACACAAATTTACTGTTACAATTAAAAAAAAAAAAACTAGATGGAAGAAAAAGAGCCTACCAAGAAGTCCTACATTTTAGAAAAATATTTTTACTATGTTAGAGTTCATGCCCATAATTCCAAAAAGTGAAGTAGTGCTCAAGGACTTATTTTGAAAAATACTTACCTTTCCCCTGCTCAATAGCATTTTCTATCTCCCCAGAAGCAGTCACTTTTAGCTTTTAACCTTTTATCTTCTGATATTTGCCTCTATATTTTTGAATAATATAGACACACTGCTCTCAATTAGTCACTTTTAGACAGTGTTTATTATGGGGAGATGAGAATTTTTGAATCTATTACCTCTTGCTATCTCCTCACACTCCCAATACAATGAGAACGTTTCATAACTAAAGTAAAGCTCATTTTCCTATGGTTTTATGAGCAAAAAGAGTAAAAGTGATATATTTTATAAGATTCTGCTCCTTTTTTTTCCTACTTTCAAAATTGATTGATAGTTTAAATGGGTATAGAATTTTATACTGAAAATCATTTTTCTCAGTTTGTGAGGTATTACTCTACTTCTAGCTTCCAGTATTGCTGTTTAAAAATCTGATGCCATTCTCATTCCTTTTTTTTTTTTCCCTTTTCTTGAGTGACCTTTTTTTCTGGAAGTTTTTAAAGCTATTTTGAGATTTTTTCTTTATCCATAATGTTCTACAATTTTACAAATGCTATACTTATATTCAGTGTGTTGCATACTGGGTGGGCTCTTTCAATTGTTCTAACAATTGTGTCCTTTGGTCCTGGAAAATTTTCTTGAAGTATTTCTTTGATAGTTTCTTCCTCATCATTTTTTCTTTAGAGATGGGGTTTTGCTATGCTGTTCAGGAAGCACTCAAGCTCCTGGGCTAATCCATTTCAGCCTCCTGAGAAGCTGGGACTAGAGGCACATGTCATTGTGGTTGACATTTATCACCTTTTTGTTCTCTGTTTTGGGGAAGAGGCAGATTCTGGCCATATGGATTAATCTGCTTTTCTGATCTTTCCTAGTGTCTATCACTTCCTCTTTTTATTTAATAACTAAAAAAATCTGTATGTAATATTTAAATTTTTAAGAGTTTATTCTTATTCTTGGATTGTCCCTTTTAGGAAAGTAGCAGTCTGCCTTTTTTGTTTTTATCTAAGGTCATTGATTATCAGTAATTATAATTTTCTCAAAGTTTTCTCTTGCCCTTTGCTTTGTATCATTTTTTCCTGATTCCTTTCTTCTTGTTTGTCTTAGCCTCTTTCAAGTTGTCAACTACCCCCAAAGCCTGGTGCCCATTCATATTTGAGAGCAAGGCGCTCACAGGTTGATTAGACTTGGACTGGTCCTGTTGACTAATAGGGCCTCCATGTAGAAAAATTTGGTGACCAGTTTGTCCCAAATGTCATTATATGTAGGTGTCCCTTCCAATTTCCTACCTTTGAAGTGTTTTTTTTTTTTCCCTCAGGAAATAACATAGTTAAGTTTATAGGACATGCCCATAAGGGAAATTTAGGAGTATTCAATTGAAGAAATATTAAGCTAGTACTCACAACCAGAATACGTGTAGGGGGAGGAGGAGCCAGGAGCCAGGCTGTAGAGCCAGAAGTTGCTTTTTGAGATATTTCTCACACCTAAGTCTGAATATTTCATGCCTCCAACCAAAGAATCCAATTACAGACACAAAAATGACCTCATACTCAGTTTCACTTTACATAGGTTATGTTCTCAAGAGTTACTAAGTTGCTTATACAAACTTAAAGTCATAAGCATGACTTCAGGATCTGCACTTTTTATGTCAAGTGCTTTAACTAAGCAGTTTAGGGCCTCCTGTAGTTTTCCACACTCTTTCAGTTCTTTTCCACGCATTATAAGAGTTTCATAGTCATTCACAGACTCCACTGCTTCATCCTGGGGAGAATCACTAGATAATGGCTCAGACTCAGTAAGAGAGGTTTCCTGAACTAAAGCACTGGGCTTAGCCCTAGTTAACCAGCTAGACTTGTTTTCTGAAGACAGTGTTTCTCCAGAAGGATCCTCTTCTGTATGCTCAGAGGCTTCCTCACTGCTTTCCTCTGCCTCTTCTTCTGGATAATCTTTAGCACTCTTTGCTTCACTGCTATCATCAAGTCTTTCCTCCATATCCTCCACATGTTCTAAAACCATATTAATAAGAGATCTCCTTGAAGCCAGAGATCTTCTAGAGTTTATAGACTTATTTACACTATTGGACATTATAGGGGAAAAGAACCTTCCAGGAGGACTAATGTTATTTTTGGGAGTTGAAGCATCAAATTGTTTCACAGATGAGAATTGAAAGGGAGATGTGTGGAATGATTTTGTGCTTGAGGTACCTTTAAAAGAATCATAATCATCTTCATCTTCGTCATCTGAAACAATCCTTCTCGCTTTACTTCTGATTTTCACATTAACTATTACTTCTTCTGCTTCATCATCTTTTTCAGTAAAATCCCAACTGAGACATGTTTTTCTAGGTACAAACTCTGATCTGGAATTAGCTGCAGAGTCACATAAGCTATTTGTTTTCTCCATATGTTCTAAAGAATGACTAGGAGGATTTTTTCCATTGTCCGCAGAGTCTTCCAAGAAAAGATTGAAGTCACATGCATATTGTGGTGAAGATGTGGAAAGTTTCTCTTCCAAGTTGGCCTCATTTGCTTGAGCATCCTGCAGTGCACTATGGGATGCTGACAAGTCATCAGTTATTTCAATAACAGATACATTTGATTCTGTATTTTGATTTCCATTTGTTATGGGATTAATGGGCCAGGGATTGTGCTGATGTGAAATCTCATCATCCTTTAGCTGATCCAGATTTGGCTTGAGATCAGCTTTGATTGATTTGGTAAGCGAATAATTAAAATTTCCTGGAGGTTCTTCTTGCGGTGCCTCTTGTGTAGGCCCCTCTTGTAAGGCTTCTTTTGGTAGAGCTTCCTTTTCAGTTGCAAAGCTTTTTGACAATCCCAGTAATGAGTCATTCCAAGTTTCTTCTAAACTTTCAAACCCTTTGGGGAAAGTAGCTATAGAATCAGCATCAAATGTACTTTCACATGGATGCCAACCATCTTGCGGGATAGTAATGTTTGTCTTAATACTGGAGAGATCATCTTTCTCACCCTCTTCTGGTGGGTCATCAATGATTACATTTGCCATTTGGGAACTGATATCTTCCTGAATGTGATGGGTGGTTAAAAGAGGTGAAGGCTGAGGCTGTGGATTATTGAATTTGGGGCATTTTTTCTTTGTTTGAGAAGGAAACACAGGTTCTCTTAGCCAGGTCCCCTCATTTCTAGTTGTTTGTTGTTCCATCAGGAGCCCTGCATTTTGAGACTCTAATTCAACAAGGAATTGAGCTTTTTGAACCCTCTGTTGAATATAGTGAGGTTCTTCTATCACATCAAGCTCTTCTTTAGCAGAGAGATCACATGTGTACATCAAATCATGGTCTGAGATTCCAGCTATCCCTAAAGAGTGCAGGTAGGCAATATGTTCATCTAGTTTCTTATCAGATCTCCTCTGAGCAGCATGCAGAGACTGAAGCTGCAGCTGAGTTACAGAATTCTGAAGATCCTCGATTGTAAAGAGCTCTCTTAATTCTTGTTTACTAAAATATCTGAAAGGGTTCTTTTTTTCACCAGTAGTTTGTCTAATTAATGAGTCCTTGAACACCTGTCTTCTATATATTTTTTCCTCTACAGTCCCACAAGTGATTAGCCTATAAACCACAACATTTTCTTTTTGTCCAATCCGGTAAACTCTATCCACAGCTTGAGCATCGGTGGCAGGATTCCAGCTAGGGTCAAAAATGACCACTCTAGTTGCTGCGGTTAATGTTAAACCAACACCACCTACTTGAGTAGTAAGCAGAAAAACAGAGTAATCTTTATTTTTCTGGAATAAGTTAATTCTTTTTTCTCGTTCCAAAAGATGAGTAATTGTTCCATCAATTCGCAATGTCTTAAAGTGCCTATTCTTTAAGAGGTGTTCGATGATGTTTAGAATTTGCCTTGATTGGGAAAACACCAGAGTTTGATGCCCTTCATCTCGCAATCTCTTAAGCAGATCCATTAGGAATATCATTTTTCCAGATTCTTCCATCAGTGTCTCATCAGTTATTTGATCAATATGATCCATGTCTGGGAAATCTTCCCCTTCATTTCCATCTAGAGCAGAGAATTTGACAGTCCCTAGATTCAGTAACTGACAAGCCCGAGCAGACAGCAGCCTAGGGTGATCACACAGCTTCTTTAAGACACCTAGCTCAGCTAATGGTGAGCGTGTTTCCATTAACAACTCCTTGATATGGTCTAAAGACACAAATTTCCTGTATATTTCTTCTTGTAAAGGTACAAGACGTATCCAAATTATTAAATCATTTTTCCTGGAAAGTGAGGGCATTTCACAAGTGGCACCAACATCTGGATTCTTTTCACTAATTCTGACTTCTAGGTTGCTTGATTTTTTCTTTTGTATTTCTTCTTTAGTCCTCCTGAGAAAATAGGGTTTTATGATTGCCATTAAGTTTTCAGATATTTTAAATCCCAAGGCTTTTTCCCCAGGAGTAGCATCCTTCTGTCTTGCTCTAGTAATGGGATTTTCATACTCCATTTTAAAAGTTTTTAATGTTCCTAACAGGGACCCTTGACAAGCAAAATCAAACAGGGACCATAGTTCTTGTAAATTATTCTGGATTGGGGTTCCTGTGAGGAGGAGACGATTAATTGCAGGAATTGCACGAGCACATATTGCTGACTTAGTAGATGAGGTTTTTATTTTATGTGCTTCATCAAGTATGACATAGTCCCACACAAACTCTTGGCCATTAAAGCTTGAAAGTTGCCGCCAATTATTGATTAACATTTGGTATGTAGTGATAATGACGCCATTCCTTTGCTGAATCCGATTGAGATTTCTGGTACGTTCATCCTTGCTAGGACCATGAAAGGTTTTGACTCTCATTCCTGGAGTCCACTCGACAAATTCTTTTACCCATGTGTTAATAAGATTGGTTGGTATGATCAGCAGCACATGATTCACAAGTGAAGCATCAAACATACCCGAAAGGAAAGCAATGATTTGAACAGTCTTCCCTAATCCCATATCATCTGCCAAGATACCACCTTTTCTTCCATCCCTATATAGGCTGTAGAGGAAAGCTACGCCTTCCTTTTGATGCTCAAAAAGTTGGTCGTGTAGTTCTCGGTAAAGCAGCAGGCCAGAGTTGCACACATCTGTAAATTCCTCATCTCCCTGTTCTGCCAACTCCTCCAAGGCTTCCTGTATGTTTTGGATTCTGCTCATCACCTTTTCATTGGGAAAAATGTCCTTTGCCAAACTGAAAAGTTTAAATGCTTCTTCCAGATCTCCATTCTTAGTTGCCGCCTTGGCCTCTTTCACGTATCTCTGATATTGAGCAGTCTGCCCTGGGCTTAAGGCCTGGGCTTCCGCAACCCCCTGGGAGGCCTCCATGACCCCTGGGTTGGATCCCAGGTAGCTAGGCCGGGCATTGGAGCTTGAATTTCACTACCTCCTGCCCTGCGCATGCTCTCTGCACAATGGAGTGGGCAGAGCCAACGGATGGCCTCGCTGCCAGCCAATCTGTAGCCCTGAGCTTGGCGCCAGCGCCTCAGCGCCGCCCATGAGACTAGTGCGCATGTGCATATGTGCGCCCATGATGAGAGGTGTTCCTGTAACCTCTCATGTGATGTGTGATTCTGTGTTCCCTAGCGTTTTCAATCCTATCCAAATTTTTTTGTGGCAAATTTGAGTGTGCGTGTGGGCTGTCCTTGTGACTGCGGTGTTTGACTGATTAGATGTTGGCGATAGGAGCTCAGTCATTCTCGTGGTCCCTGGAGACCTGCCCTCGGAGCTGGTAGATATTCTGCCCTCCGTGCTCGCCTGTACCTGGCACGGAGCAGGGTTTAAATCCAAACACCGTGGGAGCTGTAGTCCTCATGAGTCACTCACATAAAGGAAGGTCTTCAAGAGCCACACCAAAGATCTCATTTGAGAAATAGGTAGTGCTGAGGTTACCTTTTCTTCAGAGACGCAGTCCTATTTTCAAAGTCAGAGCTCGGGGCTTAGGGAAGTGTGGTGACTGAGGTTATATGACTTGCTTGGGTGATGCACCTAAGGTGTTTTATTTTCTTAAATCTTTTTCAGCTAAGGCTGAATGATACTGTGCTAAAGATGGAATTGATTCTTCCCAGCCATGAGCATGGTATGTTTTTACATTTGTTAACATCTTCAGCTATTTCTTTTTCTCAGAATTTCATAGCTCGTTTTATAGAGATCTTTCTTGTCCTTTGTTAGGTATATTCCAAAATATTTCATCTTCTTTGGCACTACTGTTAAAGGAATAAAGAATCAACATTGTTAAAATGTCCATACTACCCAAAGCAATATATAAATTTAATGTAATCTGTATTAAAGTACCACTGTCATACTTTAAAGATCTGGAAAAAATAGTACTTTGTTTTTATATGGAATCAGAAAAAACCTTGAATAGCCAAGGCATTACCCTGAAATAAAAATAAATCAGGAGGAATCACACTACCAGACTTCAGACTATACTATAAATCTATAGTGATCAAAATAGCATGGTATTGGCACAAAAATAGGGAGGTAGATGTATGGAACAGAATAGAGAACCAAGAGATGAACCCAGACTCTTACCATCATATGACCTTTGATAAGCCTATCAAAAACATGAATTGGGGGAAGATCCCCTGTTTAACAAATGGTGTTGGGTGAATTGGCTGGTAACTTGTAGAAGACTGAAACTGGACCCACACCTTTCACCATTAACAAAAATTGACTCTCACTGGATAAAAGATTTAAACTTAAAACATGAAACATAAAGATACCTGGAGAGAGTGCAGGGGAAACACTTGAAGAAATTGGCTTGGGAGAATATTTTGTGAGAAGGACCCCCTGGGTAATCGAAGCAACACCAAATATACATTACTGGGATCTGATCAAACTAAAAAGCTTCTGCACAGCCAAGAACACAATAAGTAAAGCAAGCAGACAACCCTCAGAATGGGAGAAGATATTTGCAAGTTATGTTTCTGACAAAGATTTGATAACCAGAATCCACAGAGAACTCAAACTTATTAAAAAGAAAAGAGCAAGTGATCCCATTTCATTGTGAGCAAGTGACTTGAACAGAAGCTTCTCTGAAGAAGACAAACACATGGCCTACAGACACATGAAAAAATTCTCATCTTTAATCATCAGAGAAATGAAAACCAAATGATTTTGAGATATCATCTAACTCTAGTCAGAGTAGCCCACATAACAAAATCCCCAAACTACAGATGTTGGCATGGATGTGGAGAAAAGGGAACACTTCTGCACTGCTGGTAGGAACGCAAGCTAATACTTTCCTTTTGGAAAGAAGTTTGAAGAACACTTAGGGAATCTAAAAGTGGATCTGCCATTCGATTCTGCAATTCCTCTACTAGGTATATATCCAGAAGACCAAAAATCACATAACAAAGATATATGTACCAGAATTTTTTTATTGCAGCCCAATTCATAATTTCCAAGTCATAGAAGAAGCCCAAGTGCCCAATGAGCCATGAATGGATTAATAAATTGTGGTATATGTATGCCATGGAATATTATGCAGCCTTAAAAAATATGGAGACGTTACCTCTTTTATGTTTACACGGATGGAGGTGGAACATATTCTTCTTAGTAAAGTATCTCAAGAATGAAGAAAAAGTATCCAATGTATTCAGTACTATTATGAAACCAATTTATAATCACCCACATTTTCATATGAAAAATAAAACACAACTATAGTCCAGGATGAAGGAGGGAAGAGGAGGGGGAAGGAAGGGAAGCGGAGAGGTTGGATGGAGGGAGGGTAAACAGTGGGACCACACCTATGGTGCATATTGTCAAATCTGTTAAGTGTAGAGTATAAATGTCTTAATACAATGATTAAGCAAGTGAGGTGAAGGCTATGTTAACCAGTTTGATGTAAGAATTCCAAAGTATATATAAAACCAGCATATTGTATCCCATAAATGCATTAATCTATGCAGTTATGATTTAATAAAAAAGGAGAAAAATATTAAAAATAGTTTACAACTATAATTAAAGATCTACTTATTTTTAAAATATTAAAAACAATAAAATTCCATTTTGGTTCAGTGAAAGTCTTTGACAGTTAAAAAAATGGAATTAAGAAAAAGATCTGTGATCTCACCTTCAGAGTATAGTGTTTAGTTCATTCCTCTTGGTTTGAGTTTGATTTTTTTCATGCTTATCTCCCCTATGCCTACTGTCCCTGAGATGGAGCCTGTTTGGTTTAATTGACCCAGATGATCTGTATTCCATCTCCTGATGGGCTGGGGGACATGGTGATGGTTCTATTCTTGCTTTCTTGATACCTGATGACTCCATTTCCTTGGTCTGTCTTGAATTGTTCAGGATAAGTTAGCTCTCTTCTCACTGTTATGTCCCTCTAAAGCATTGTTCTCAACCTTCCTAATGCCATGACCCTTTAATACAGTTCCTCATGTTGTGGTGACCCCCCCAACTATAAAATTATTTTCATTGCTACTTCATGAAGTAGAGTCTAAAGCAGTGGTTCTCAACCTTCCTAATGCTGCAATGTATTTTCATTGTTACAAACGGGTCACAACCCGCAGGTTGAGAGCCACTGCTGTAGAGACTCTTTAGTTTTATAATAGTTCTCTCTACACTGGTAAGTTATTTACTATTCTATTTGCTGTCTGTATTCATCTGTTGTGGTTCTGGGTTTCTGAAGTCTCCTAGTGTCACACGAAATGGAGTTTGTCGTCTTTTGTCTTGCTTTCTTGGTTTTACAATAGGAGACTCTTTCTACGAACACAAGGATATTATAAGTTGGAAAAGGAACGAGTTACCAAGATTTATATATAAATCCTTTATATATATATATTATATATATATATAAAATTTTACATATATATATAAAATATGTACTATATGTGATCCATATATATATATATATAATGTACTATAGTTCAGTTTATTTCACCAAACATACTTTGGTGTCTACTGAATGTCAGACACTTGGAAGGGTCTGAAGACAAGACATTCTTTCTATCTTAGCGTTGGGATGGGCCTAGATGTTAAGAGGGTCAGTATTTTTGAGATATCTTCCTTGGAGGAGATTCCTTTCAGATAAGAAGAAGAAGGAATCTCTTCTGGTATGGAGTGAAAGAGTTGAAAGTAGAGGGAAGAAGCAAAGTGTGGTAGAAGCACTCAGAGGGGTTTAGGGGAAAAATCCCATGTCAGGGAGCAACTTCTTTTCTTCACATTTCTTAAGCCAGAGTCTAAGAAAATTTCAAGACCTATAAAGATACACCACTTTCACCATGGTGTCTGGTGACCCAGGGCTGGCTGAGTGGGGGTTGTATATCAGACATGGCTGAGAGAAATGTCCATGTATGGAGACAGTTCTCCAGCTTCCCCGGGTCAACACATAATGTTCAGGCAGTCAGAGGCTCCCACGTGCTTCAGTGGGGTGTGTGCAAGTATTAGAGAAGTGAGGGACAGACAGGCTGTCATAACTGGGGACTCTGGCTGCGGCACTCTGAAAGCTATGGAACATTTTCCTTTAATTTTTTCCTTTAGTCTTGTCTATTACTGTTTTGGGCCTTGAAAATGGTAGGCTTGTCCCATCCTTAGAGGCTCCTAATTCAATCTTTGTTTTTCTTGCTCCCTCCCTCTTTTCCCCAACCACTTGTCTAGAGGAAAAGGCTCAGCTGGTGCATGATCTGGCTTCCAAGTTATGGCAGGTAATAGGTAGGTAATTAAAATTAAAATTTTAATGGTAGGTAATTAAAATTAAAATTTTAATATTTTGCCATGGTTTTCATATTTTATGATGGAACGTCATGGTTCTTTCCACACTCTGATGACAGCTGCCTTTCTGCCTGCTACCTGATTGCTAAGCAAATACTGCATTTAGGTTTTTATTATTTCAGTATTCCTCTTCAAGTCACCAATTTTTGTATTAAGTAGAGTGATGTTAGCTGCTGTAACAAATAATTCCATGAAATCCTAGAGACTTATCACCATAGGAATTTTTCTTATGTGAAGTACAAATAAGTATTCCTGGTTATCAGGTGGTTTTACCACAAGCAGAGATTCAGGGACTATGAATCTTCCTGTGTATGGGCCTCAGAGGTCTCTCTGCATTTAGCCAGAAAATGGTCATGCCTGGGAGGTGTTTACAGGCCAGCCCTGGGGTGGCTCCAGTACTTCCATTTGTATACTGTTGGCTTACCTATTTGCAAGGGAGGTCGTACTTAATTGCAAAGGAAACAGAAATGTCTAGCCTATGTCTAGGTAGAGGAGGAAATGGGTTTGGTGAAGAATGAGCCAGTCTTTGCAAAGCTATGTGCATGTGCTTTACTATTATTACTTACTCTAGATCCTTTAAAAAAATTAATGTAAAAGACATAATT